AGGGCCGTCCGGGCAACCCACCGTCGCAAAAGTACAGGTGCACCGTCGACTCGTTGATCCCCCCGCTCCCCTCGATCAGGAACTGCCTCCCCCCCTGGTCGAAGCTCCTGGCCCCCCAGCGCTCCTTGAGCCTCCGCGCGACGACCTTCATCTCGTCGGGCTCGAAGTTGTCCAGCATGATGATGTCGGCGCCGGCGGCGATGGCCTCGTCCGCCTCGTCCTCGGTGCGGCACTCGACCTCGATCTTGAGCGCGAAGCCGCCGACCTGACGCGCGAGCTGCACCGCCGAGGTGATCGATCCTGCGCGGCGCCAGCCGCGGATCAGCGCCCTCCTCCCCCTGCGGGAAGCCGGCGACCCACCCTGCGCCCAGATGTGGTTGTCCTTGAGCATGATCATGGACGACAGGTCCATGCGGTGCGTGTCGACGCCGCCGACGAGCATGGCGTACTTTTCCACCATGCGGAAACCCGGGGTGGTCTTGCGGGTGCCGGCGATGAAGCCCTTGTACCCGTGCCGCGCGCGGATCTGGTTGAGCCGGTAGGCTCTGATGGCAGGGGAGGGGGATGGAGTGAAGGGGGAGAGAAGGGGGTGTGAAGAGGGTGGCGTGTAGGGGGTGGCGGGGACGGGGGTGAGTGCGGGAGAGCATGGAGGTCCTCCGGCGCGGACGCACCTGGTAGCGATGCCCGACGCGCGTGCGATCATGTTGAGCGCCACGCGCTCGCCCAGCAGCAGGAACCGCGCGCCGCCGTACACGCGCGCGACCACCTTGATGGGCTCAAAGTACTCGCCCTCCTCCATGAGCCACTCGACGCGGCAGTTGCACTGCCGGAACACCTCCTCGAAAAAGGGCACGCCCGCGAGCACGCCCTTTGTCTTGCCGTACAGGATGGCGACCTGCTCGGTCTCGCCGACCACGAAGCCGCCGTAGTCGAAGACGGGGATGTCCTCGTGGAACCACTCCTGCACGGCCTTCTGCCACGACGGCGGGAGCAGGTGCTCGAAGCGCGAGCGCGAGGGCGGCGACGACAGCCTGCGCGGGAGCGGGGCGGGCGGCGCGGCGGCGAGGGGCGAGGGCGCGGCGGTGCGGTGCGTGGCGCCGAGCACGAAGACGGGCTCGGCGTCGTCTGCGGGCGGTGCGGCGGGGAGGAGGTCCGCGCGCGAGGCGGGTTTGGAGCGCGCGAGGTGCGCGTCGTGCAGGTTCTCCGAGGCGCCGACCTCGCGCGACGTGGTCGGGATCATTGTTGGGTGAGGGGGTCGGGTGACTCGGATGCGGGCGGGTGCAGCACGGGATGCGCCTCTAACGGCGGCTTAGGGGGCGGCTTAAGGTGCTAAGCAGGCGTCTAAGCAGCAGTCCCGCGGGCGGGTGCGCCGTGCAGCGGGAGCGGGAGCGGGGCGGCCGGCGGGGGCGGGGTTTGCGGTGTTTGCTGCCCGCGGCCCGGCGGGGTGCGCGCCCGGCGGTCGCCGCTGCGCGCGAGCGGCGATGTGACTGCGCGGCGCTCGCGGCTGGCCCGGATGGCGGCTTCAAGCGGGCGCGGGGGGCGGCACAGGGGCGGGGACTCGTCGGGTGGAACCGGAATCATCACTTGCGCCGACTGCCTCCCACCAAGCCTCCCCCGCCGCACTCAGCTCCGTCCTACGCCTCCCTCCCCGCACTCTCCCCCGTAAATCGCGCCCTCCATGTCCCGCCGCGACCCGCCCCGCGGCCGCCCGCGCTCGCGCTCCCCCCCGCGCGGCGATCGGCCCCCTCCCCGCGGCCGCTCCCCGCCGCGCCCTCCGCCGCGGCAGACGACCCTCTTCGTGTCGGGACTGCCGGACGGGATCTCGGCGAGGGAGGTCTCGGCCGAGTTCGAGCGGTGGGCCGTCTGCCCCGCCCGTTTGGTTTGGGAGCGGACGACCGACCGACACGTGGCCCCCCTCCCCTCCCCGCGCGCAAAGGTTCGGCCGCCTCGTCCGGTGCGACGTGCCCACCCCGCGCTACGCCGGTTCCGACCCGTTCGCGTTCGTCGAGTTCGAGGAACCCCGCGACGCCGAGGGCGCATACCAGAGGATGGAAGGGAAGAGGATCGGCGGGGGGGAAGTCAAGATACAGGTGATCGCCGGGCCGCGTGGAATCGTGGGGGAGAGCTGATCAGTGATGGGTGTTGGACAGTGGGCGAGGAATCCGCCGCAGAGGGGGTGGAGGTACGAGGACACCGGGGGCGTCGGGGGACGGAGGCGCGACAGGTCGAGGTCGAGGTCGAGGACGAGGTCGCCGCGCCGGCGGTCGCGGTCTCCCCGCGCCGGCGAGGGCGGGAGGCGCCGCAGCGCAAGCAAAAGCAGAAGCCGCAGCCGCGCCAGGAGGAGGAGCAGGAGCGGCGCCAGGAGCCGCAGCAGGAGCAGGTCGAGGTCGCCGAGGCGGAGGCGATGCTTGAGGGGGCTTCTCGGGGCTTGAGTTGCCGGCGGCCGGGAACGGGTCGCGGGCCGGGGGCAGATCTTTGCCATGCTAGGCAACGCTAGAAGCCGTAGACGGTGGGAACGGGGCAACTGGACTGGACTCGACCGGGCGACGGTGCGGAAGTGTTTGCCGCAGCCGCCAACTCCGCGACGCGTCCGACATCCCACTGTTTGCCGCGCCCTCCCCGCGATGGGCGTCCCCGGCGCGGTGCTCGGCATCCTGGTTTCGCTGCTCTCGTCGCTGCTCTCCGCGCTGGGGATGAACCTGCAGGCCGGCCAGGCGCTCATCGAGGCCGCGGCGACGGCGGCGGCGTCCCCGTCGTCGCCCCGCTCCGCCGCGTGGAGGCGGCTGAGCAGGTCGTTCTCGCGCTTCGGCGACGACCACTGGCTGTTTGGCGCCGACGGCGAGGAGGCCCCGCCGGACCGCGGTGCCGAGGAGCCGCACGACCGTGCTGCCGGGGGGGTGACGCCGCCGGACCCCGCCACGCCCCCCGACGCCGCGACCGAGGCCACCCCGCTGCTTTCCCACGCCGCGCACCTCCCCGCCGCCCGCCCGCGCCGCATCCCCACCGTCGTCGAGCAGTCGCGCGCCCTCGAGTCCGCCCCGCTGCCCCCCGGCACCGTGCTCTGCAAGCGGCTCCTCGGCCCGTGGATGTGGCACGCCGGGCTCGCCCTGTACCTCGTGGGCACGGCGGGGGGCGGCTCCCTCGCGCTGTGCTTCCTCCCGCCGCTGGTGCTCGCGCCGCTCTCTTCCGCGAGCCTGGTGTTCAACATCGGCTTCTCGCGGTGGATCCTCGGCACCGAGATCGGCGCGCACGACTACGTCGGGACGGTGCTGCTGCTCGCGGGCAGCGCGCTGTGCGGCGTCTTTGCCTCGCAGGACAACGCCGTCACCTCCCCCGCCACCCTCCCGGTCCTCCTCTCCTCCCCGCTCTTCCTCGCCGCCTTCTCCGCCCAGGCCGCACTGTCGCTCGCCGCCTTCCTCCCCTTGGTGGCATGGGAATCCCTCCGCCCCGGCGGCGCGCTGAGCAGGCACATCTGGGTGCCCTGGCTGCCGCCGCTGGAGGAGCAGACCGGCGCGCTGGCGTACGCGGAGGAGGAGGAGGGGTGGGCGGACGCGTGGGCGGACAAGGGGAGCGGGGGGGAGGGCGCAAAGGGGGGGAGGAGGAGGGAGGTGTGGGCGGGGATGGCCTATGCGGCGGTCGGGGGGGTGGTGGCGAGCCTGTCGCTGCTGCTGACAAAGAGCGGGTGGGCCGTCGTGGGGCGTGATCGCTTACGGACCGCGGACTGACGTCCTCGCCTCCCCGTTCGAAGGGTCGACCTCGCCATCACCTCCCTCCTCCGGCCCTCCCCCGGCGACCCCCCCCTCCCCCTGTCCTCACTCATCCCCCTCCTCCTCGCCCTCCCGCTGACCCTCCTCGTGCAGCTCTACGCGCTGCACCGCTCGCTGGACCTCGCGCCGCCGCTCATGAGCGTGCCCGTGTTCTTTGCCGGGTACACGCTGCCGCAGCTGCCCGACCAGGTGGTCGTCAACCTGGCCGTGCTGGGACGCAGCGGGTACGAGGTGGGCGGGGCGGTGTGCGTGGGGGTCGGGATGGGGCTGGTGGTCGGGGGGGTGGGGGTGCTGGCGAGGGGGGGGAGGGTGCAGTAGGGACGGGAGGGGCGCGGCGGATGTGGGGGGGTGGGATGGTGCGGCAGAGGGGGGGAGGCTTCGGGCACGGTGCGGCGGATGTGGGTTCGTGCGTCGATCGGACGGCTGGATGGGGGGACGAGGAGAAGACGACGATCGCGCCGCGGTCCGGTCCGATATGCGCATTTTGTCGTCCCGTTCTCAAGTCAGCAGCTTTCAATCCAAAGCCCTGCGTTCTGATTGCTGATTGATGAGGCGGGCCGGGAGTCGATCGCGGGCGGCGTCCCGTGCGAGGGCAGGATGCGGCGAACAGGTTCCAGGCACGTCGCGGCGGATGGAGATTCGTGCGGCGATCGGACGGTCGGGAAAGCACGTGCGGCGCGACCGGGCGCAGCTCGCCGTCCGGTCCGGTCCAAACAACCTGTTTTCGCACGCCCGTGCTCGATTATGATGATGGCGAGGCGCGTCGACGGCCGATCGCGCGGGGCGTCCCGTGCGCGAGCGGAGTTTCGCTCCCGCGGCAAACCCCGAAGCAACGAGAGCTACAGAGCCGTCCTTCGTCGAGCTTCCCGCCGCTCGGATCCGGCTTGCTGCCTTTGGGCAGCCCGGAACGATGCGCTGTCGGGGCGGAGCGCAGCTCAGTGTTTTCTGCCGACGCGGAGTCGCGGGGGCGGGCCGCCGCGCGAAGCGCGCCATTGCGGCCGCTTGGGGCCGATCTCTGGCCGGCCCAGGCTCCTGGGAGAACCTGAAGCCTGCATGCGCAACGGCGGATGGCGGCGGAGTTGCCGAGCGGGGGTTTGGCGCGGCGGGCGGAGCCCGCCGTCCCCCTCGACAACAAAAAACCCCCACCCCCATCCCTCGGCGAATTCCCGTCGGATCGGTCCCAAAGTCAACCAGAAGGAAGATCTTACCCCTGGTGGTTGAAAAACAATTCCGTGTCCAAACTGAGGATCGAACTCAGGACCTTATCCGATTTCACCAGTTGTGAAGGATACGTGATGACCAACTACACCATTCGGACCTGTCGTTGCCGTCTGAAGCTGCGGCGGACCCTCCGACCACTCGCCATCCTTGCGCCGGGCCCCCGGCGTGGTCCGACGGCCCACCCGCACCCGCTCCCCTCGGCGGCCCGGATAACTCTGACAGCTGGCCCTAGAGCTGAACATCCTTGGCAATTCATGGATCAATTGTTATCGGACATTTTGTCTGACCGGCTTGGGATCAGGGCGGCAAAAGCTGGCCGGCCACGCCAGGATCGGGACTCGCTGGGCAACGGGCTGGGCATTACGTTCCGTAATCCGGTGATACCAACAGGCTACCACGGCATCTGTGCCCTAGATTTGGTTCTCTCGTCTGCATTCCCGCGGGTCGGGGGCCTCCTTCGCCGCTCGGCTAACCCGGCCCGGCATGGGAATGCACCTCTCCGGCTCCGGCCTCACGCATCCATGGCGCCATTGCCGCCCTAGCGCAAGCGAGCACAACCTCGATCGATGTGCAGGATGTCGGGCGAATCTGTTTGGGATCCCAGCGGTGCGGTGGGCGATGCGGCGGCATGGGGATCAGCGCCGAACAGCGGATGCTCGCGCACGGTGGACCATCGGGGAGGCCTTGACCCAAAAGCAGCTTCAAATGCATCCTAGAAAATGAGAATGGACATGGATTGGTGCCAGCCCAGTCTTCTCCTTCGAAGTCCGAGGGGCGAAAGTGCGCGGGTGAGATCGGCGGGGCCAATCCCGCCCAGGTCACGGAGAGCAGGCTCCGTCCATCCATCCATCATCCTGCGATGCAACAGCCACAATCGGAGTTTGCAAAGCCTGGCAAAAGCGGTACTCGCTTCTCATCGTGCAGAGTCCTTCGTCGCGTGCAGCTGGACGCGTGTGATCGTCGTGTTCGCGTGCACCACATGCCCATTTTCCGGCCTTGAATTCGCAGCGCTCCAACACTCTCCTCCGCCACCGCGGCCTCGTCTCCGCGCGTCGTTGCCAATGGAGGCCTTTGCGGCCGCCCCTCAGCCCGGCTCGCCGCGCGGGCTGGGCGAGACGCGGGCGGATTCGACCGCCACGCTGGACGGCGACTACGAGCCCACGCCGCTTTCGCCGCTCGCCGAGGAGCCTGCACTTTCGCTCAAGGGCGCCCAAATTGAAGCCGTGGTCCCGGCAGGCCCGGCAAAGGGGTCACAAGAAGCGGGGGACGCGCTCGAGGAGGTCGAGGTCACAGAGGCCGTGCGCCCCATTCGCACCGCGCCTTCCGTGCAAGCTCGGCTTGCCGAAGAAGTTGCGGGCGTGGCTGAGGAGAACAGGCGGCTTCGTGGACTGCTGGAGGAGACCGCTCAGCGGATGGAGAAACAGCAGACCGTCACGCGAGAGGGTGCGCGCGTCGTCCTGCTTCGTGCCCGATACCCGGCTGATCTGTCGACATTCCAGCGGTCCGCAGCCTCCAGGCCAAGCTCGCCCGGGCCGAGGAAAAAGCCCGCCATGCCCGCCGCTCCGTGCCCCACAACACGGACCCCTCCCCCGCCCCGGACCAGAGCCGCATGGCCGCACTCGAATCGGACCTCGCGTCGCGCACCGCGGAGCGCGCTGCCCTCAAACAGCGCGTTGCGGAGCTCGCCTCGCGGCTCGAGCTTGCGGAGAGGGCAAACGGGGTGCTGAAGAGGGAGGCCGCGATTGCGAGGGACGGGTCAGAGGCAGTGGAGAGGGACCTGGAGGCGGAGAGGGAGCGCGGAGCTGCTTTGGAGACCAAGCTGGGCGAATTGGAGGCACGAAGGACCGAGGTGGAGGAGCGGGTGAGGGCCGCAGAAGCAATGGCCACGGAGAGGGAGGGCGAGGCCCGCGATGCCCGGAGCGACGCTGAGGCGGCCCGGGCGGAACTCGCCAGGACCCGCACCGCCCTCGACGTTGCCAAGTCTGCCCTGCGCAAGTCGCAATCGGACCTTGCCGCCGCCGGTGCAGAATCTGCTCGCCTGGCTGCCGCCCTGGAGGCCTCGGAGGCACGCCGCAGGGAGGCCGAAGCGGGAGCCGAGCGCGACATCCGCGAAGCACACGAGGAGCTGGCGAAAGGCCAGGACGATCTCATGGCCGCGGCCGCCGAGTTCGATCGGCTCGTCAGCAGTTCGAGTGCGCGGATGGAGGCCAGCGAGCGTGCGCTGCTGCTCCGGGAGGAGATGGTGCGCGAGCGGCAAGACCTGCTTGAGGAAGGGGAGAGGCGGCTCGCCGGCCGAGAGGCAGCGATCGTCGACGGCACGGCGGAAGCGATGACCATGCTGGCCGGCGCACAAGCCAAGCTCGACAGCTTCGAAGAAGAAATTGGCCGGCTGCGGGCCGAGGCGAATGAACTGCGCGCTCTGCTGGCGGAAAGGGACTCGGAGACAGGGGTGCTGCGCGGCCAGCTGGATGCGCTTCGCGGGGATGCTGCGTCCTTGCAAGACAGGCTGCGCACCGCACAGGAGCTGGCGGACCAGGTTCCTGGCCTGCGCGAGACCATGCAGCGGAACGAAGCGGACGCCGCCGGCCTGCGCGAGGAAAGGGATGCAGTGCTGGCTCGCGTTGCCCTGCTCGAGCAGGAAATTGCCAGGACGGAGAGCATCCTTGCGTCGGCGAACAACGATGGTGCGGACGGGCTCGCGGCGGTCGAAGCAGAAGCCGGACGGTGGAAGGCGGAAGCGGCCCGCTCAGAAGCAGCCATTGCTGCCGCCGAGAAGAAGGCTGCGGACGAGAGGCGACGCGGCAAGTTGGTGAGTTGCTGCGCTCCGACTTTGGGTGCGACCTATTGCTGATCTTTCCGCCCTACAGGCCGCGGAGGCGCTCGAGACCGAGCTCGAGATCGTCCGCGGGCAGTACGCGGAACAGATTGCGGCCCTCGAGGTGGAGGTGGACGAACTGAAGGCGGAGCTGGTGGACAAGGAGGCCGGTGCTGCCAAGTTGGCAGCCGATCTGGACGCCAGGCTCGCCGCGGCGCTTGGTCATCTCCGCGGTGCGTTGCTTCGATCTCTGCGGCAACCATTCACCTGATTGACTGTCTTGCATGCTCTCACAGACCCCCACAAGGCCATGGCCCGCGCCGGAGGCCACTGGGTTCCCGACCAGCCCGGCGACCGATGCGGCACGTGTCGGTCGAGCTTCAACGCCTTTCATAGGCGCCACCATTGCCGCAAATGCGGTGGCCTCTTTTGCCACGACCATGCGTCGCGGTCGGCAAAGCTGGCGCTTTTCAGCCTGGCACCCGACGCGACGGTTGGGAAGGAGGGCAGGGTGTGCGATGGGTGCTGGGCGGAGCTCAACTAGATGGTCGGCTCGACTGTACGGGGTGATTATTTTATTGAATGCTTCCTGAGAATGCCGATCCATGTTCCTTACGGCACCAAGCACCATCCGGAGATCCGACGTGAGCGGGCTGGGGAGGTGCTGACGTGGCCAGGGCGACAAACAAAAGGCCAGCGAACGCAAACGTCGCCCGACGACAACGGATCTCGGAACCCCCACCGACATCCAGCAACAACATGTCGCAGCCACGGGAGCTCTACCACCGCCTGCTCAACGCGGAACGCGACCCGCGCGCCAAGGAAGAGGCCGCGGTGTTCCTCGACTCGCGGCTCGCGGCGGCGCGCAGCCTTGTCGCCAGAGATCTCGGCGTCAACTCGCCGTCGTTGGCCTCCTTCTACCACCGCTACGACGAAGACGCCGTGCGCAGGCTGTTGGACGGCGAGTACGCCGACACCGTGCGGCGCTACGACAATTACGTTGCGAGGTGGCGGGACGCGGAGACGGCTGGGCAACCCCTGGAGCGGCGCAACGAGATGCTGCCGAGCTTCGAATACGCCCGGATCTGGCTCGCAAACATCGCGCCGACCAAGCTCGTCGACGGGAGCTGGCTGCAGCACGCGCACAAGGTGTCCGTCCCCGAGGAGCTGCGCAGGTTCCACGCCATGCTGTTCCGAGTCTTTGTCGACGAGCTCGGTGAGGGGCAGATCAAGCAGAACCACATCACGTCCTTCCGAGAGACGTTGGGGAGCGTGGGGTGAGGGTTCTGTGGCCGCATTTGTTTCGACTCGGATTTGACGCGATCGCCTCAGGCTTCACATGCCCCCGATCCAGAGCCGCGCTTTCGTCGATCAGACATGTCTTCTTGATTCGGCGTTCGATTGCGGGCTCGTGCAGCTCTGTGTTTCCCTGTTCCCCGAGTCGCGCCTCCCCGAAATCATTGGCTACAACTGGGGCTACGAACAGCTGCCGCTCCACCTCATGATCTCGGCCAACGAGCTCGAAAGCTTGGGAATCGACCCGTACTACTTCCTCCTCCACGTTTCGATAGACAACCACTCGACCGGCCACGCTCATCTCGCAGCCCGGTGCGCCTTCCAGTACCTCGAACACATCCGCACGACGCGAGGCGAGGAAGAGTGGGTTTCGGCATGGCTCGCTCATTGATCATGTCCTCACTTTTCGCAATTGCAGGATGAAGGTTCATTGGCAGCGCATCGTCGACGGCTACTACGTCAACTCGATCGATCCCGCCAAGGCCGACTTGGCCCGCATCCGCGACCTGTCCCTCTCCGTCGGCCCACGACAGCTTTCGGCGCCTCCAGATCTGCTCGCTGCCTCCCGCGATCGGCACGATCTGGCTCGGAGGCGCATGCTCCGTATCCTCCGCGGCAAGTCCTTGCACGGCGCCAACATGCACCGGCCGGAAGCCAAGATGCACGGTCGTTCGATCCGCAAGCTCCTTGCTCCGCCGCACTCCGACCGGGATGAGTCCTTCGCGGCCGCGCTCGATGCTTTGGCGAGATCGCGATGGGTGCGGGCCGGCGACCCGGACGGAAGTCCGCTGCTCTCGGAGCTTTGCGCGTACGGAGGCAAGATGTTTGGCGTGTTCACCAGGGAGGAGCTCGAAGTGGTGCGGGACTGGATCGTGGGGTTGAGCGATGACGAGATGTGCGTGGACGGCGGGCTTGGTAAATCTGGGCCGCAGATCGACGAGGCGCGAGCCGTCTCGCCCCGACTCCAGGCAGCCGCCGATCGTACG